TATATATATATATATATATATATATATATATATATATATACACACATACATACATATACATATACATATACATATATATATACACATACATACATACATACATACATATACACACACACACCGGCTCTTCTTCTGCCTGGTTTTTCCACCCGCCCTTCCACTTCAGGAGCTTCTCTGCCTTGACGGGCAGCCGGGGCTTGAGCCGCTCCAAGCAGCCGAGCAAGGCGGGCATTGTGACGTACCCTGCGAGGCTGCGGGGCCGGCGCTGGAAAAGGAGAAGGCGGGCAGGGCAAAGGGCAGCCTGGCGCTCCGGAGCTCCGAGCCCGAGTCCTGGGTCTGGGACGGCCGCCGCTGCTGCTGCTCCTGCTGCGGCTTCTTCTTTTCCGCCCGGCTGCCGCTGCCGCCGCCGCCGCTGCTGCCGCTGGTGGTGGAGGCGGCGAAGTGGGCGCGGAGGCGGCCGACCTGCGACTGGGCGGAGGTGGAGGCGGAGGGCAGCGAGAAGTGGGCGCTGAAGGCGCGGGCGAGGAGAGCCAACCGCCGGGCGCGCCAGCTCTCCAGGCTCCAGGCGTCGGCGCTCCGCCAGCCCAGCCCCACGTCGTCGCGCAGCTCCTCCAGCGGCACCTCCAGGTTGCCCACGTGCCAGAAGACCCACCAGGGCAGGCTGAAGAAGGCGGCCACGCCGCCCAGGTAGATCAGCAGGTCCGAGACGTCCGTCTCCAGCAAGCCGCCCACCAGCAGCCCGGCTAAGCCCAGCGCGTCGAAGACGAGAGCCAGCCCCAGCGCGCCCCGGCAGCGGCTCCGCTTCCGTCGGGGAGCCTCCGCCGCCGCCATCCACCCGCGGGGACCGGGAGAGCGGCGGGCGGGAGAGAACCCTGCGCCCCGTGGGCGGAGGGCCTCGCGTCACCGGAGAAGCCGCCCCCTCCCTCGGCGCCAGCCGCACCTGGAAGCCCCCAGCCCCTCCCCGCCAGGTACATCCTGGGATAGGTAGGAGGTTCCCGCTGGGAGCACGAGCCAAGGGGAGGAGGGGGGGGCATGATGATCCCCTCTTCTATCCTGGCTGGTCACTAACTAGGATAGGGACTAAGCCAGGAAAGCCTGCAGGCTA